AAACGTGCTATTAAAGATTAAAGTATAAAATATTTTCGTTTGCTTATATAAAAAAAAATTTGCTTATAAAGAATTGCAAGTGATAAAAAAGGTTAATTAATTCATACATATGCCTCAATTGATAATTGTTTTTAAAAACCACAAAATATTTTTCTTAGCAACTTACATTGACAAAAAGGTCATGAAACCATTTTGGACAATATTTTATAGAAAGGACTAATAAGGAAAATTTCATAGGTCTAACCAAATCAATAATTCTTGAAGAAGAGATTATAAACGACCAATCCAAATCATAGAACTATATGGTAGTTAGAGCTTTCTCTTAGATGATATGATGGAAGCTAGATAAGTAATCGAGAAAATTATTGCGAGATATTAAATTTCTAAAAGGTTATCTTCCATTTTTAATAATATATAAACGACACATAGTTGACCATTATTGCTTATCTAAAATAATCATATGCTCTTAGCAGCTGTATAATATCTTAACTTACATAGCCACACAAATAATAGATGCTGGTTAATTTGCAGTCATAGCCATGAAACTCACGATGTTAACTTATATCAGAATTTATTATGTTAGATAAATTGATAAAACAAAAATACTAAAAAATCTTTAGAATAAATTATGCAAATATATTGAAGCCTTAAGTTATTTACGGCAAGGATGCCATATTAGAAATAAAACATTTTGTATCTATAAAATAAGAACCAGAGTGATACAGTCAAAACCGTTTAATTGCATATCGCTTAAGTGCAAAAACTTTTAAATGCGAAAAAACCCCGCGATTTTGATAAAAATTACTCTGGCATGATGTTAAATTACATTTATAATTGCGAAATATCGGTTAATTGCGAAATTTTTTAGGTCCCATTTATATGACAATAACATTAAAACGGATTAGTGAAAAAATAAAAGAATTTTTATCTAAATAAATTATTCGTGATTTTTTTTATATGAACTGCACCTTTAACCTTTTTTAATACAAAAATAGTAATTTTATTATATATATAATTAAGCAAAATGTTAAGATAATAATTAATTACAAACATAAAAATTTTAAGAATTCATGAATTTTTATATTATATTGAAAAAAAATTATATTCTCAGAAATAACCAAAACATTGTTTATTAAATCTCAATGCTTATTTTTTTAAAAGATATTAAGTATCTCAAATTTCTTCAGATATATTTTACTAATTTCAACCTAGATGACTAGGCCCAATTTATAATTCATATTGTTATGAATGACCACAACTTTCAATTTTATTTATCATATAATAATAATCATAAATCTTGAACAAAGGACTCTTATCTTTTCATAAAATTTTCCAGATTATTTGATTGTCATTTAATTCATTTTATATTCGACATGCATAACTTATAAAAATGTCATGATGTTATATAAAACTAAATATAAAATCTACAAATCTACATTTAAATATTATTTGATTGACATTAAATATTATATAAAGTTAATGTAAAAATACACAACTACAGCACATCATCTAAGGGACCAAGATTCACTAAGCTAGAAAATATAGTAGAAAAATAATTATTTAATCCAGAGTCTAGCCAAACTCTTATCACAAAATATTTTTGTTAAATTTTACATTATTTTATAATTAATTAATAAACTTTCATTCTAACATAGCCTGTTTATACATTTACATTTATAATATTAGACATAAGTTTATTTTAAAAAGATTAGATAATATAGAAGGTAATTAAAGTTCTGAAATTATGAAGGAAATCTAGAGATCTTATAATTTAATTTAAAAAACAAGCTATTTGTGGATATATCTTTTTTGAATAGGCAGAGAATTTAAAATCAAATATGTAAATTAAAATTTGACACTTTTAATAAACTTTAATTTACAAGCTTATATTTTTAATATTTATTTTTTAATTACTTAACATTTAAAATTAAGTTGTGTAAATTAAAATAAGCACCATCTTGTCATTTATAAATTTGTAAAATACTGAGCTTAAAGATTATTATTTTTCTGGATCTCTTTCTGATAAAAATTGTAAATATCATTATTAGTTATATTATTTAAAACTTTTTAAATAAAAATTGCAAAGAAAACCAAAAAATGTTTTGCTTCTAAAATAAATATAATTTTGTGTTTGTGACAGAACAATTAGAATTGGAAAAAATGTGCTATTGTTGAACTAAAAAAAAATTAGGACAGATAGGCTTTTTTTAATAAGATAAAATTCAAAATTTATTACAAACCTGTCTTTATTTTATTGGCATATATTTACAATTAATTGATATAAATTTGTAGTTATATATACAAAATCAAATATTTATATTTTTCTAATTGAACAAATTTTTGTGAATTTGAATTGCTTTTGGAAGTGTTTCACATTTATAAGTATGGGTTATCAAGAAAAATTATTAGCTGGTCTAACTACTATATTATTGTTGTTCTACCTATTATTCGATTTATTTCTCAAAAAATGGAAACATTTAAATATATTTTTAAATTTAGCGATTTATATGTGAAAATGAAATGAGATAAAATGTTATTAACAAATATTAGGCCAGCAACAAAAACATATGATACTAGAAAATTTTAAATATTGATTTTTTTTATTCGTTTTATAACTTATTCAAATTTAATTTAAATATATAAGGTACATTATCTAAAAAATGTATTTATTACAAAGTTTAATAGTTTATATGCTTAAAATATATATAGATAATATATTTGCATAAAAAACATAAACTGATTTTTAATAAATAAATTATCGATTTAATCGTATAATTGCGAAAAATCGGATACGAATTTTTTAAATATTTTGGTCCCAAGCTTCCGTAATAACGGTTTTGACTGTATTATGAAAGCAATTAAGTTTGCTTTCCTAAAAACACGTAAAAAAGAGAAGAAAACATATCTAATTACATCCATTGTAGGAAGAATAATAAGTTGTAAATTGTTAATATTATTTTTAAATAAATAGATGGCGTTAAATAATTGAATGCAATTGTTGCTATATTTATTATCAAGAGAATTGATTAGTAAAATTTGTTAATTGTCTAACTGTCAAATATGTCTGTAAAAGTGGAATTTTACCTAATATTTTATAACCAATTCTCTATAATAAAGGAATATCAACTATATGTCTACTACTTTTTATAAATAAATTTCTTATATTTGTTTGGAATAAATTATTACCATACTTTTATATTAAATATACAAGTAATTTATTATATTTTATACAAACTAATAAAAATATATTTCATATTTGATCCAGGCTTATTTTTTTTTATTAAAATTAACCTCCTGTCTTGTAAAAATATGTTATGACTATATAGAGACCAAAGTAACCCGGCCGAAGTCCCGAGAAATTTTTTAATTCCCCCCCCCCCCCCTTTAGAAAATTTTGGCTACGCCTTAAGTCCTTCAACATGTACAGGGGTAAAATTTATTAAACTATTACTTTTAATATATTATATAACTTTCAAATACGTATGTAAAAGTTGCATTATACCTAATATTATGAAACCAATTATATATAATAGAGGATAATAAACTTTATGTCTACCTTTATCTCTTATACTTATTAGGACCTTGAAAATATTTTTAGGAAGAGGCATGGTAATTAAATTTAAAAATGAATAATATAATTGATTAGTGTTTTCGAACTCAGCTAATTACAATATTAAATTTATTAATTTTCAATTAATAAATGATTATATTTATTTAATTAAGTTTATATAATAATTTAAATAATAAAATAAATTATTTTTTTTTGATTTAAAAGGGTTTGGTTCATCCGGTGAAAGATTTGAAGTGATAGAACGGTAAATAATATTTTATTTTAATTATATTTATTTACAGATTCTATGAACATTATATCTCAATATTTTACAAAAAGCAAAGTTGAGTTAATAAACAAATTCAATATAGACCATAAACTAAAAATTTACCAATACCCCTCCCTATAATATACATTTTACTTAATCGGGTACGGGCTTTTCTCTCTCTTCTTATCTCCAGTAGGCGTTTAAGCAAGTGGTTTCGCCTCTTGCGCGCACAGGTAACTGCAGCCTGCCCAAAAATTGTGGATGGGCTCATCTCATAGGCTACCCCCAAATTTCTTAACCCATTTAGATGGGATGAGATAGTCCAAGCGTAGCTCTGCTGTTTCATATAGCGATAAAAGGCAATTGCGCTTATTATGACGTATGACGTAATATTTAGTGAGTGATATTGATATTCTATTTTTTAACAGAGAATTTGATTGCAAGCTAACATTGTGAAACTATAATTTATATGTATTAATATAATAATTAAAATAGTATTCATTTATTAAAAATCCAGATAGTCTTATTAATTTTTAAATAATAAAATAAAATCTGTATATTACGTAGAATTATAAAAGAAATCGTTCAGAGGACAATCAAAAAATATTATTTTTAGTTCAAGGGGATATTAAGGAGCCATTAAAAATAAAAATCTTTTTAATTCAGGGGGCTATTCAAATTTTTTAGGGGGCTCGAGCCCCTTCGCGCCCTCCCCTAGTGACGCCACTGCAAATATTGAAAAGTACTAATACCTTCGAATTATACAAATAATTCAATAGGAAGATTTTAATTATTCATATTCGATTCGAATTAAATAATTGATCTATTCGTAAAGATGAATCAAATTGAATCGAATAACAAATAAGTTGTTTTAGACGTACTAACAATCATATTTGTTATTTAAATTTTGTCAATTCTTAATTTAGGTATAGTACAATAAAAAAATAGAAAATTTATAATAAATATGAGAATTATACTAAAATAAGGATTTGAATTTATTTATTAGAATTGACAAAAATAATAAAAAATATTTTCGAAAATTGGGTGTTGAAAGCTATCATTTAAAAAGTGCTGTTACAAACTTTAGCATAATTTCAGTATTACCAGAAGTTGAGTAATTTTTGAAAATATGAGCTTTAAGTTTTACAACTTAATTGATAACACTTTTTTATCCCTATCAAACCCATTATTAATCATTGGAGTATCCTTAATAAGTGGAATATCTATTGGATTACTTTTTATGAACACTATATTTAAGAGATATAGCAAAATTTTATTTTTTAAATCTAAACATTCAATTATAGATAAAGGTTCATTATCATTGCTTAATTTTTCTATATAAACATTTAGAATTTCTAAATACTTTGAAGAATTCCGATTATAAGATGGTAATAGTTGTTAGAAATGATTTAAAAATGGGCAAAGGAAAATTAGCTGCTCAATGCTGTCATGCAGCAGTAGAATGTCATAAACAAATTACATATAAAGCATCTAATAATAATATAGATAATATTTATACCTATTTTTTGAGATATTGGTCAAAATCTGGTCAACCAAAAATTATATTAAAAGTTGAAAGTGAGAAGGAATTATTAGAAATCTATAAAAATTCCAAAGATTATAAATTCAATCTTGATAATAATATTAATAATTCTAAAAAAGCAATTTTTTATAAACCTCTTATAACATCATTAATATGTGATGCTGGGAAAACTCAACTAGATCCAGGTACCTATACAGTTGTGGGTATTGGACCTGCTCCTAGTTGGATGATAGATAAAATTACAATTGATTTAAAGTTGTTATAGTTTTGAATGTAGATCATAAATAATTCAAATTGCAATGAAAATTTTTTATAGATAAGATAGAAGCAAAAATATACTTTTATAATTATTTTATATAATAAAAGATGTTAAATATTTATTTTGATTTAATTTTCCAAATAATAAGTCCTAAACATTGTAATAAAAATGAAGTAGTACACATAAATTAAATTGAGCAAAAGCATGGTACATATAAATTAAATTAGTCAGTAGCATATTTGAGTAACCTGTCTTGGAAATGAATTGGTTCTTGAAGTAAAATTAATGCAAATGTCACAAAAATAAATTTTCTAATTAGCGTAACTCTTTCACATTCATTTTGTTTATAAATTATATTTAAATTTAAAGTAAGTTCACATTTCATACTTAACTGCACTTCATCAAGTCTATTTTGGATCTTATAGTAACTAAATCATACATAAAATAAAATGTAGAGTAAAATAAAATATTTATTTGCTGATTGGACTATAGCTATATATTATGAATTAATGAATATTTTAATATTAAATTTTTTTTTATTGAATAATAATTTGAGAGTTAAACTAAAGATAACCCTTACCCAGCCCCAAGTGTGAATATATTAAATATTATTTAACTCAAATTTTTTTTTGTCTAGTCAGTTATAAGAAAACAAATTTAAACCTCTAAATGAGTGATTGGTTAAATCCTATATGGGCCCACACAAGGGGGGTGTCTGGGGACCCAGCCCCTAAGCCATTTTTGGTGGTTTTTAAATGAAATCATGGATATGCCACTGAGACATAAATGATGCCTTTTTATTAAATAAATTAGTAATTTTTAATTAATCCTTAAGAATAAATTTTCTTCATACATTAGTTTATTGTTTTTTTTACAGAATTTTAATTACTACCAACTTAATTCATCAATTATTTGTGAGCTTCCAAATTAAAGTTCTGTTATGCCTATATTTTGATATTGGGCTGATATAAGTATAAATACTAGTGCTGTAAACATTACTTCAAAAATGAAGCTCGTTACATCTAAAAGGATCGCGTGTGTATATATATTATATAAATAAAATTATACAAAAATAAGAAGATATTTTTATAATAATTTTATACACTAATAAATAAAATTTTACAAATATGATATATTATAAATTGTTTGACCAATCGCATTTTTTTTATTTGGCTTGTAACTCACTAACCTTAAATCCCGCCGTTGTGTGGTTTGAAGTAGAGGTGGGCGTGGGCCTAATTTTTTATTCATGGCCCGCCCGCTCACGGTGTCAATAAAAAATATTCACACCCATTCACGCTTACCACTAAAAAATTTTCGACCCGACCCGCCCGCCCACGAAAGGCAATATTTTTATTCACGCCCGCAAATTCACGGTGTTTTTAAATTTTTCAAAACTTTAATGCTCTAATTTTTTTTACACTTTTTTGAATTTATTTTTTTAATTCCATAATCCATATTAACAAAAAATAAATATATTATAAATCCAAAATTTTACTTAGAAAAAGAAGAATGTCTATTTTTTTTTATTTCAAGTGTGTACGCCTTTCCTTTAATAGGCGATTGGCTACAGAAAATAACCTTTCACTAGAAGCCGAATTTGTCAGGGACAAAATTTTGCTCTCTAATTTTCTCAAAAAAGGAAATAAATTTTCCCGCTTCCAAAACTTCAAAATTTTGCAATTGTTATTTGTTTTATGGGATGAATCTTTTAAATTCACACAGCTTTCATCGGTAAAAATATGTTTCATTTAGTATATGGTTTTTATGAATGTAGGATGAATTAGGAAAGTTATAAATGACAGTTGGCATTGACCTATGCATATCATCTAATTTTATATCATTTCACATTTTTAAGATTGTTTTGTAAATTTCTTCGTCTATTAAAAACTTACTTTTAAAATTAGGATCTAGAATTAAGCCTACCTTAAGTGCTTGAGAATAAATTTTAAAGTCGCGACAAAATACTTAAACATAAAAAGAACGTGACACCAGATGTTGTTTACAAAATGCCGGAATATTTTTTGCAATGATAAATATCATTGATTTTTTGTCAAAAATTTTTTTTTTTTAAAAAAGAACTAAATTAAATTAGAAAATATGTATTATAATTATAAAATTGCAAATTTATAAAAAAAATTAAAATTTCCGTGATTCACGGGAAATTCATGTTCACGCCTGGGAAAAATTTTGGGAAGGCCCGTCACGCCTGATAATTTAAAATTTATTCATACACACGCCGTGACCCACCGTGACACGATGGGTCACGCGTAATTTCACGGCCCGCGCCCACCTCTAGTTTGAAGATTTCATTTATAGTCACAATTAAGGCACTAAATGCTCGCATAAGTTTTAAGATCCTCAAGTTATTTCGCCAACTTAACGGGACTGAATTATTCGAATTTATTTGTTTCGTATTTTACGAATAACAAAATTATTTTAAGAATAAAGAAAATATATTATCCGTCGAATTATTTTTTCATTCGAAAGCTCAGATAAATTTAAAATTATCAGTATTATAAAATAATTTCGAAATATTTAAAATTTTTTATTAAACATTCTAAATTATTCGTATATATTCGAAATTATTTATAAATATTCACAATTGAATTATTCGATTCGAAAATATAAATCGAATACGAATAATGCATATATTTGTTTAATATTTTGTCCTTTGATTATAGAATCAACTCTTGCAATATTTTAGTTTATCTAATCTTTTTAATTTTTTTGCTAATATGCTCAAAGTAGAAACCGGAATTTAAATTTCAAAATTTAAATTTCAACATCTTAACTTCAAATTTAATTATTATATTTATAAATATTTAATAAATTTAATTTTAATTGCGAAGTAGCATAAGACTACTTTTACAAAAAAAGTAACTCACTATACTATAATAGCTAAAGCTACTAAAAAGAATTAGCGCACTAATTTACTAGCACTTGATTTTATATTTATAAATTTTATTTTTTGAAATTAAAAAAAACGCGTCTTTATATTATCTATTTTTATTTTTCACATTTACCCATTAAATACGACATTTTCTTAGTGTGGATAGTATAGATGTATGAATTATAAGAGAGAAAGCATTATTAGGTTGGTTTTTTCTTAAAATATTTTATTGGGGATTTTTAAACGCAAAGAATGCAGGCTTTTGGCTAAATTACATTTTTTAAAAGAATAATTTTCGATTTTTACTTTTTTATATTAAGGTTTTTGTTGTAACTGTTGAAAAAAAGAAGAAATAAATTTAATATAATACATCAAATGTCACTTATTTTCTGACAGGGGAATTAAGTTTTCCTTGGGGGAAGAAGAAGAGGAGATGATGACATGGGGTTTTATTATTAGGAAAAAGCCCTTAGTTGGAAGATTAGGAGATATTGGATTAATGGTAGAAGATGTCAGCTGGGGACCTTTGGGGAATGAAGAATTGGATAATTATGATTTATTATATGTATATTTTTCTTAATGGATAGATATTAGATTGTTGTTTTTTAATGAATAAATTTGGGTCGTCTTATTATGAAATATGGTTTGTTTTATTGTTGCCAGCTGACCAGGATCGGAAGATTTGGAGTGATTCGGTTTTAAAGGTAAAAAAAATTTTTTGTATATATATTATATGATAAATTTTGACAACGCATAAGTACTAACCACTATACAGGAGTAGGTGAGATTAAGGGGTGAGTTAAGAGTCTATACTTATATATTTAGCTTACAAAGGTAAAGATAGAAAGTATGTAATGGGTATTAGGCAAGAATATGGAAATAAGATCAGGAATTTAAGACAGTAATATTTGGTATATTATCTTATGTCTAGATGTATATGGTACCTCCAATTTTGATTATTATTTGATATGCCTTAAGACTCATTGAATGGTGTTATAGGTATTCCGTCATAGGAAGATAAAAGACCTCATGATCAGCAGGACAGAAAGGATTGCTAAATATTTGAAATTTAGGAAAATATATATGGAAATAGACTTTTGTAATAAAGTGTATATTATAATTATGCATTTTGGGTTTTTAAAGGGATGGACATGTGTGGGATCATTTATTATTATTTAATGTTAATATATTGTATTTGTAATTTAGTTTCAATTAAGGTTGATGTGTTATTAAGGGATATTTATTATTAATGATAATATTGTATGTGTAATTTAGTTTCAATAAAGGTTGATATATTATTAAGTGATCTATTGAGGGGAAGTTATTGTTGTTTATTTTGAAGTAATTAACCATTTCAATGAAATAGGATGTAATGTAAATTATACATATGATATATTTAATTATGAATGATAATTTAAAGGAATTGAAGTATAATGAAGTCAGAATAATATCTATAATGTTAGATGTGGATAGTTATTTTGATTTAGTGTCTGCATTTGATATATATATAAATTGGGTAGGAATTTATATGATATATTAGATGATGGGAAATATTTTTTTTTAAATTATGAAGTCTTTATATTTAATATATATATTTTTTTTTAAATTATAAATTTTTATAAAGAGTTTTATTTGCAATTATTATATTATTTTTATGGTATGCAATGATGTGAAGGGAAAATATTTTTACAGATAAGGTTAGCCCATGTTGAGGGGTATGCCTTGAGGTGAAAATATTATTTAGTTTGCATACTGGGGAAAGTTTTTTTGGTGTAAATTTTTTTTTTGTAAATTTATGCTGCATATTACATTTATATCTTTGTAATAATTTTATAGCACATCACTATTTACTATTTATTTATGAACATTTTTTTTAAAGAAAAGACTCAAATTATTTTATATTGTGAGCCCATTATATTCTCAATGTTTGTTACTTTGCATTCTACATTTTTGTGAATTTAGCTAATTGTGATGACAGAGTTAGGTAGAAATGGTATATTTTTCTTAGGATACTGAGTAATTCCTAGATGGAAAATATTGTATTTTCTACATATTATATATTTGTTCCTTCATATAAAATATTAAATGTATTTATATACATAAGTATTGTAATTTTTTTTAAAATCTTTGTTCGGCAAAGTTTCGCAATTATTTTTAATACCTAAAGATGG